TTCTTCCTTCTTATTATCATTTATGTATTCTCTGCCACCAATAAAGCTAAACTGCGTCTTTGATATATATTTCTTCTGATTTTTCCTCTAAATCGAAATAGAATTGTCAATTATTTATCTCGGGTAATGGCAGAGAGCTTTGCCCCCGTTAACCAACTTATAAACTAACTTCGGAACAAGTTGAATTATAATATTACTCGAATGTTTTTGATGTTATAGCTAAAGTTTTTGTAGATATTTACATACTCTACCTTTCGTTCAATTTCACAAAGCAAACGGTGATATTTGAATAAGCTGATTTGTTTGAAAAATACTTTGACAAAAACCCTACTCCGCAGTTTAATTTAATTTTATAGGACTTCATGCTAAACAATATTTTTATGAACATTTTTTTCTTTTTACGTTCTTGCTTTTTTTCCTTATTCTTTTTTAATAGCAAATAATAGGATTTACTCTTGAGCATGCAACATACAACTAGTTATGTGTGAATATTACTTTCTGGAGTCAACTTCCAACTTTTTGAAGCGTTTGGACTTCTGATTTCTTTATAATTCTCGCAAATCCAGGGCGAACTGGAAACTAAATTCTTGTCCATTCCAAAGGATATTCGGATGGTTTCGGAATAAACTTTATTTTTGTGATTAATACTACCCATCCAGTTCCAAACACGGTATATTCTAGTAGTCTCTTGTCAATAAGTTTGTCGAAGGTAAGAGTTGTTGCATTACATAGTCCTTTCAGAGGATTTCTATTGTGGAATAGCATTAATAGCATTTCTGATTTCAACAATAGGTTGTGTCTTAGTTTGTCACTAATGTATTCAAATACTCAACATTGAAACGTAAGATATCATTTGCATTAGCGAGGCTATCTGTAACTCCTCAACTTTATTGAATTTCTTTCCAGCCAGTCATACATTGTCTCGTTTATTTATAACACTAATATTCTTGAAATCCACTGCCATTTTAAAACTCCCTCTACTGTGTTTATATTTACAGTGCTATAATTGTGCTACTACTCATATTTTACCAGAATTAAATATATATAAAAACTTAAGGAAAAGATATAAGTATTGCATTTTTATTAGATAAGTATTTTCCACAAGAACTGCTATTTTAGGGAATAGATTACCGTAGTGATGCTTCGCTGAATAATACAAACCACTTATTTACTCAAGTTTATAAATTCATTTTAAAATAGTGTAAAGTTTTTGTATGTTAAATTTTTTAAAAAATGACTTTTCCCAAAAAAATAATTTTTATACTAAGCTACACACCCTAATAAAATTGCACTTTGTACCCACTTACCTGTTTGCACTTCCCCACAAATTTAGTTTCGAAGTTTGGAAGGAATCGAGTTTGAATTCCAGTCGAATCCATTACATTTCACTTACGTGCGAATATCCTTGAGAAGGGTATGACTCCTCTTCTTCTCCCTCAAGCTATGGGTAATTAGCAGGATAGACCAGGTCCTATAGACTTGGATAGCAACTGGTCTACCGCAGAAAGAAATGGCAACCTACTGCGGGAAGAAATTGTACAGTTCAGTTACGTGCATAAGCGTCTATCGTGCATGGCACATAATTGAATTGATGGATGGAGTAAAGGAATCTATCTATCTATCTATCTATCTATCTATCTATCTATCTATCTATCTATCTCTCTCTCTCTCTATATATATATATATATATATATATATATATATATAGAGAGAGAGAGAGAGAGATATTATAAATGAAAGTAATAAGGTGATTAAATGACTAAGAATGAGTGGAATATGGAGTTTAATTTTTAAGAGTAGAAGCGATTACTTTATTTTGGAAAGCTAAAATGTTTTCAGAAGGATCGCACACGAAAATTAAAAATAACTAATTATTTTCACATTTTAATTAAGTTTTCGAGAATTTGCATCAATTACATTATATTTTAACATTAATAACATTATTCTGAAAGATACTCCTTAAGGAGTTTCGGGAAATATCACACCGAGGTCATTCTTGTATTTTCGTTTTCTTCTGTATTGAATAATGTTTTCAGTTTTTAATTGAAAACCGAAGCCCTTATTCTGATTAATCTTAAAGGACAAATATTTGAGTCAATCTTCTTAAAGCCCATTTGATTTTAAATTTCGATTATTTTATCATAAAGTGTAAAAATAACTAAGAAGCAAACTAGATTGAAACAAACATATTTAATTCAGATTTTAATTACACTGCCAAAACTGATGAAGCGATTTTTGCCTGATAATTAATATCAAAGATTAAAACTGCATTTCAAAGACCTGCGTGCTTGGTCCAGGCTATGGAAATATTTTTAATCATAATTATTTCATAGAACCATTCTCCGTGACAATTGCTGAATTCTGATATGCCTGCCCACGATGAAAGCTACACATTTCGTTACGTCTGAATATTTGGAGCTTTTAAAAACGATAATTTACCGAAGTGCATATGAGAGACAAAAGAGTTGAAAATGTGTGTATACTAAGCTAAATGATTTCTAATAATGTAAGAAGGCCCGCTAGGAAGTTTTCAGCACCCCCTTTAGTATATTAATAGATGCTTAAAAAATTCCTTGCATTGTTTTACATTGTGCCATACAACTTACTATTTTAGACGTGAATACTGAATAATTACAAGCCTGACCAGGAAGGCAATCAAAATACATTGATGTTCATGCTATTTAATCAAATGTCGGGAATTGAGGCGGTCTCAGAAGATTTTCGTATTTTCTTTCAAAATGCTTACTTTGCTACAGACCAGAGATTACAAAACTATTTTGCCCTTTCGGAAATATGCTCAATACGGTAACTGTATCCCCTGCAGGGAGGTAAGGCACAGCACAAAACGTGCTACCATCCAGTTAGATACTTGTAAAAACCAGACACATGAATCTCCTGGAAATCAGACCCATGATTCTCGTTGAAACCAGACTCATGTCAACATTTTTGGCGCTAAATAAAGCGGAAAGAAAACAAAAAAAATTCTGGAGCAACATTTATTCTTCAAAATAAAGTCTACCTTTCTCGACGATATCCCGCAAGCGATCAGCCAACATCCGAACCTGTTACAGACAACAATCCGCTGACTTTAAATCAAAAAAACTGTAAATTAACTTCTTTAACTTCATCGAATGTGTTGAATGCCTGGTCGAGAAGGAAGCGTACCACTGTGTGGACTAGGACAAAGTCACTCAAAGTAAGATTAGGACTGAATGGTGGATGTCGAAGTATCTCAACACCCTCCATCTGTTTGAACTTCTTCTGACAGTGTCTAACCTCACTTGTCTTGCTCAAAAAAAGCCTGACCTCGACTCACCAAAGCACGATACTCCTTCTTTAGTTTGTCGTAAACTTGGTCTATCTGCTGGCACTACAGTGGCGCGAGCGACCGTGTGAAACAAACTCCAAATGCAGTACACACTGGAAATTCCATCAGACAGAGATGAAGATTTTTGGTTTTCTTTTCGCTTCCTAAGTGAGTCAGGAATTTCTGGCCAACCTAATATTTTCATTTTCCGATAAAGATAGCCAGGCACAGGTATATCTTTTTGACTCTGATAGAAACCAGGCACATGTCTTCCTTTTTAACTCTCGTGGATACCAGGCCCTAGTCTACCTTATTGTCTCTCATGGAAACCAGGCTCATGTCCAGCATATTGACTCTCGTAGAAACTAGGCCCATGTCTACCTTTTTGACTCACATGGAAAGCAGACACTGGTCTACCTTTTTGACTCTCATCGAAACCAGGCCCATGTATACCGTATTGACTCTTGTGGAAAATGTCTACCTTCCTATTAATTTGCTGTAATTTTAGCTCTGTATAATTTATTCGACATTAAACAACCTAACATGTCTTGGTAAATTGCTCTTTTTTTAGCTTCTTCGACCTATATCTGTGACCAATGTTTAGTGAAATCGTCAAGGAATTATTCATTTAGAACACTTAAAACGTCATGAAACACAAAATGCACATTTATACGCCTAGCAGCTGCATACTTAATCGAAAAGCTTCCTGCGTTCGTCAATAGATAAAACTTTGCTTTTCATTTAATAAATCGCTCGGTCGTATACGGCAAGAATAACAGGAAAAATAATGGAACTCGGTTGGTATATTCCACCATACTCGACAGATTCAGGACTTCGCCGGAAACTTCTTCATGTTAATACCCCTGGAACTTTACTGAAAAATTATCAAAGAGCTGTCTGATAATTGGCAGCAAACCATTCCAAATAATGGTGATCAGATAAAGAACAAATGAGAAACGTTTATCAATGTTTTATTTTTATTAAAACTTATACAGAAAATGGTATATGGAGCAAAAGAAAAGAATTCTGGTATTTTTACATTATTTTTTTTTTTTTGTTGTGATTTTCCTGGCTTAATCAGGTTTCGTTTGCATTCAACTTGTTGGACAAACGTTTATATAATTTGTGGCGCCCGATTCAAGAGATGGCGAATATATAATTGGACAAAATGTAATTCCACAATATGTTTTAAGAATATATTTGCTGATAACTAAATATAACTAAGAGACTGTCTCTCATACGTAAATATACGCGAATTCAACGAATTGTAAGGTCATCAGAATTATTTATGACAGTATAATAACTGTGCTATTAAAAAATGAATCCTCCAGCAAACATTTCATGCATCTATGTATGTTGCTGGAGACACGGTGGAGTAATGGAATTGTAGTTGAACTCATTCCATTCCATTACGTACTAATATTCTTGGGAACGGTATGATTCTATCTCTTCTCCATCAGCTCTGGGTAAAATAGCAGGACTGATGGGGTCCTATAACTTTAGGCGTCTAGGAGAAGGAAACTCTAAATTCAAACCGGATCGCACTATTCTGAAATTGTGTATATCCGTGGACCGTTTATGAACACAAATTCCCCTTGAAACTATTAGCCGGTCCTGGGATGCGTCATTAAAAGGAGAGCCCAATGTTCTACAAAGAACGAGTGGAACTATTTTTTAACAATGTATCTTTTCTTGCGACATGGAAACACCGGTTCTCGTAAGACCCCCGAAGTTAAGTAACGTCGAGACTGATCAGTGCCTAGATGGGTGACTGCTTGGAAATACCAGCTGCTGTAAACTTGGATGTGCGACGGGTGTATTAGATAAAGGTTCATAACTGGAGATCGAAGAGCTAAGTTCCAATTCCAGTCTTTATATTGAGTTATGCGCAAATACCCATGGGAACGTCTACTTCCTCTCTGCTATGGGTTATGAGGAATCGAAGAGCAGAGTTTGAATTCCAGTCGAGTTCATAACGTTCACTTGCGTTCTAACACCCTTGGAAAAGTTATGGATCTATCTTCTCTCCATCACCCCAGTAAAATAGCATGACAGAGAGGGTCCTACAACAGCAACCAGTCTAGGAAAAGGAAATTCTGAATTCAAATCGGATCACCCTATCCTGAAACTGCGGTTGGGGAACGTTTGTAAACACAAATTCCCCTTGAAACTATTAGCACGTACCCAGGTGCGTTGAGTTCAATATTCCACTGCGAACAAGGGGAACTAACTAACCAACTAGTCAAGCTCTTTTACATAGAATAATGGTCAGTAAGACAATGGTTAATATTCAAAATATATATCTCGAATCTGTGACCTTGTGACAGATAATTTGAACTTAGTATCCATAATCTGTAAACATTGATATAAAAATATAGAACCTTTTTAAAAAGACAACTATTCATTATCTTTCGACCTCAAACCTGATTACAGCGCCCACAAACCCGTGCTAGTACTCTTGATCCCGCATTGCTGGCATTATCTGTCCCTCCTAATCCTTGTGTCCCTAATCCTGACATCAAGGAAGTTACGTTTCTTGCATCTCCTACCAAAGAGTTGAGGTTTCCATAGGGCGAGTGATGAAATGGTGTCATTTGCTGCTTAGTGTCCGGGGTCCTCATATTCGTCACAATGGCAAGATCATTGAGTAATATTGAAATGCATCATTTTTCTCCACAAATTATAACAATGATTTAAAATCAATCATCATTTTCTTATAAAAATGTATGCCACGCAACAAGGCACGGGTAAGTCGGCCAGTTTAATTATATTTAACCAGATAACATTGAACAAATAATAAAAAAAAATGTTAAAATAAAAATTAACAAAAAAACACGTAATTTCTAACGATAGAAATTCGAATATTCGAACTCGGCTCATCCGAGTTCCCATTTGGAGCAGATATCTATTACACCTCAAAAATGGAGTACTGCTTACCATATCTGAGTTGGAGCTTTCCAATGTTTACTTTTTAGCCTTAAAGATCAAAAGGCCTTCGCGGTCTTACGAGTGATGAAATATCTTCCTCTCTACAACCTTACCCCAAAGACCAAATCGCAATCCTCTCGCTACTGTATTGTCATTTTCATGGTAAAAATTCTAATTAGGTACATTCCTTATTTCCATCGGCCCTGGAAGTCATATCATTCTATGTGCACGAGAACGAATCATCCCCATTCCCCTTCGAATTCCGTTTATAAGAAGACAGTTCCATTCCGACGGATTCATCTTAAAGAAAATACTCCCGTGAGGATACTTCCCAGATTACTAGACTCTTAACCGCTTTGACATTGGCAGTTATCTTTCCCATATCTACGTACCTTTTAAACTAAATTTCTTAGCCCGTCTTCTACTATAACAACATTAGTCAGTTACCTTCTATCTTGTGTGCATAATAGACTTTGTAAATTAGTAAACAACTGTCATTTAAGGCGGCCATTTTGTGGATGTTTAAATATAAGAGACGTGATGTTAATTTAATTGACAACTGAGTTATTTAATATTTTAATTTCAATGTTTGTCTTATGTTGATAATGATTTGGATACTTGGATTTTTTGTTGTTTGTTTTGTTTAAGTAAGGGCTAACACTGAGAAACCGTACACAGTGATAAATCATTTTCCAAAATCTTCATAGGCGGCGTTAAAAATGTGTTTGTAAAGGCGTTTTCATAGAATTACACCCCCTGCAGCTATCTTTCGCCAAGAGAAACCTCATTAGCTGAGGAAAAGATAAACAGGACAAAAACAAAAAAACAAAAAAACTTTTCTCACTCAATTTTATTATTTTCTGTCCATGTTTTTTCTTTCTCTCATTTCTATTTCAATTTAATTGTTAACAAACCGAAAGAATCGGTTTTCTTCCCCCCAACGACAAAAAATGTTATTTTCGTAACGAAACTTTACGCCTAATTTCTTTTTGAGAGAAAGCAAATTTCTCGACGATATGACATATCGCATATCTTGAAGTTGAGTATTGGAGAAGCACCGCGTGATACAACAACTTGGAAGCTGACATTCATATGATTTCTTTCTAATGATGTTCCTTGGAAGCCCGTTTCGCCGAACATGTTCCATCTCTCTCTCTCTCTCTCTCTCTATATATATATATATATATATATATATATATATATATATATATATATATATATATCTGTGCGTATGTATGTATATTTAAGCGGCATATCTTCCTTCAAATATATTTCATTGAATAATATAGACACATTATGTCTATTTATTTTTATAAGGGCACTGGTTAGAACATTCGGATTCTAAAAATGAGACTCGGGTTCGAATCTCAGTCGAGACTTCCTGATGTTATCAGACAGGAGGGGTCGATCCCAGGGTACGGCACCTTTGGAAAGTGCCTGAACACCATACCATGGGTTGACCCAAGTCTCGTGAGTGAAGTGAGTAGACGTAACATTTGGATGCCGTCGATAGCTGTGCTAACACGAAATCAAAACCCATCGTGTCCGAGGGCTTGAGCGAGCTGGCCTTGTTCAAATTGTTGATCCCGCTAGGTAACACGCTCATTCCCAGAAAATGTAACGAGAGTCTGCTCAAGCATATTTGCAGTAGGAACCAAAGGTGTGCTCTTTGGTTGTTGAATAAACAGAAATATGTCTGAGCAAGCGTCTGCAATAGGGATTAGCTAGCCGCCATAGTAGACAGGTATATTCTAATACGAGTGACCACCTATACATTTATTTTTATATTAATCCTTTCTAGTTCTCTAATTAGTTTCTTGATGTTACGATGAAATTCATCAAGGAAGGTACGATGGTTTTTCCTACCCAAGTATTTACAATCTCCTCCAAGGCCATCCTTAGATGTGAAGTACAAAGACAAAATTATTGCGACTGTAATCGGTGTGATCATTACTAAAAAAAACAACCCTTGAACACGCTCTGCAAGAATTATTTCAAAATTCTAAATTTATCCATTGTGGCCATGGAATTTTTTGTAGAACAAACGTCCAAATATTAATTAGCTGACAAAAAATTGATAGAAATGCAAAATGGCATAAATCTTTCAGAAATGCACTTCAACACGTTGATGCTACTTTCATATCGTGTGTATTTAGGCAGCACATTTTTATGCATGTTTCATTAAAAAATATAGACAAGTTGTGTCTACTTATTTTAAGTAAATTCCTTTCATATTGTCGAATAAGCTTTTTAGCATTTTTTTTATACATGTTTTTGTTGTTAATTCTGGCTAACCCTTTGGCATACGTAAGCCATCATCAGAGATTACAAGCACATTATAATAAATTAAATAACAAAGATACCATGAACCGCAAGGCGAGATTTGTTTCCTGCGTTTCATATGTACGAATTTATCGTTTCATAGCAATCTTCCATGCAAACAAAACAATCATTGTTGCAATGTCCGCATAACCATTCTAAAACAAAATTACCACCTTTGTTATTTAATTTATTATTTAATTTATTGTAATGTACTTGTAATCTCTAATGATGGCTTATGTAAGCTGAAAGCTTAGGCAGGATTAACAATAAAAAATATGTATCAACAGGGTGAGTTTCTTTCGTGTTTCACTGATAATGCTAAAAAGCTTATTCGACAATATGAAATGAGTTTACTTAAAATAAATAGATTAAAATTGGCTATATAATTTGATAAAAACATGTATTAATAATATATGTGTGTGCGTGTGTGTGTGTATGCAAGTGTATGTGTGTGTATGCGTGTGTGTGGTTATGTGTGTGTGTTGTTTATTATCTTAATGATTATTTTTAGTGGATATTCGTATTTATGTATAAAAAAGTATACTTATTTTCGTCTACTGGACTGAATATTTGAGAAATCCTATTAAATAAATACTGTCGTTCTCCTGAGTGACTGGCCATTTTGGCTAAGCTGGTCAGAAGGAGAAACTGATTCACATACTGCCGTAAAGCGCAATTTTTTTTCTTTAATAGGATTCTAAAATTCTCTTTGTTTTTGGATTCGAAATCCTGCCTGTATGTGTACCTACATATTTATTCAATGCTTATATGTGTGTACCTGTGCCTATATATATATATATATATATATATATATATATATATATCAGTACAATCAGATGTCTAGCCGAACTGATGAGTTGTGATACAGCAAAACAGTCTATCTGTGGATGACTATATATATACATATATATGTGTATGTGTGTGTGTATGCCTATATGCATGTTTATATATCTATGTGTATCTGTGGGCGTGTGTCTTTGTGTGTGCACGCATTATAATAGTAGTCTGAGACGAGTAACTGACAGTCACCATTACGTGTTGATACTTATGTCCACACTTTCTATATCAATAAATGTGCTATAACCAGCGTGTATGTGTATGTGTGTGTGTGTGTGTGTGTGTGTGTGTGTGTGTGTGCCTGTGTATATATGTTATTATTATAAACCTAATCATGTAAAGGATATATTTTAATTCCTTAAGCTAATTTAAATATAAAAATAAATAATTATATCTAAAACTTTAATTGAACTTAGACATTAATGTATTTATCTAATAAGTAACGTTTTTGAAGGAATATCCATAAACATTAACTTGCAAAAAAAGCGATAATCTGCAAAAAGTAGAAAATATCAAGCAATTAGTTTGATTCGCACATAAGATGACTGTAAAGTTCTATGCAGAAAGGGATCAAATGGATCTCGGAAGTTTTGCGTATGACTAAAAATATAAGTTTAAAATTTCAACTTTAAAATTTTAAATATATATTTAAACATTAAATATATATTTAAAATTTTTGAGGCCAAGTTAAACGAAACATTATTACTATT